CACACCAACATATGTTAATATCTTCATTGTGAAAGCTTTATTAGTAACTATTTCCTTTCCAAAAGATCTAATCAGCTGTGACATATACAGATTACATTGTAATAATATGCATTCAGATAAGTGCACCAGAAAGGCAATAATGTCACTACTCACACAATACAAACACTATCTTATTACACACACAGTCTAAATTCTGGAAATCATTACCGTACTTACATTATATAAAAAAAATATCTAGTTAAAAAATGAAATATAATGCACACTAAAAAAGAATTTGTTAAAAAATATTCACTTCCAAAATAATGAAAAGATTAATTTCAAGTGAATCAATACATGCTGAAACTGGTTTGTGGCAATACATAATGGCATATTCCATATCATGAGTATCTGCCAATCTGTTTCCAACCAACAAGTGCACACCCTGCCACGATTCCCTACATTGTATTTACATAAAAAAGCAAAGATTTAATAAATAATATGTACATAGATATTATTTCAAAGTTTGAATGCAACTCCTTATCCAATACAGTGAAACCTTGTTAATCCAGATAATCAGCTTCCTGTGAAACGGTCCAGATTAACAAGTGTCATGTGCTTCCAACTTCTAAGTGCCTTTCAAAGACTTTAACAAGTTGGTTGGTTGGTGAGTTTGTTGTTTTACGCCACACTCAGCATTATTCCACTATATAACGTAAATAATCGAGTCTGGACTAGACAATCCAGTGATTGACATCATGAGCATCGATCCATGCATCAACCAAGTCAGCGAGCCTGACCACCCGATCCCGTTTGTCGCCTTTTACGACAAGCATAATTACCTTTTACGGCAAGCATGGGTTGCTGAAGACCTATTCTACCCCGATCTTCACGGGCCACTATAACAAGTGTTCAGATTAACATGTGTCTAGATTTACCAATCCAGTGTCGGTAGAAATGTCCCATTAATTGGTGTAGATGTTCCCTGCTGTATTTGTTCAAGAAACAGGACTTATGGACGAACATGATCGCTAATAACCGGTCTTCACTACAATGGTCATTATAACTATATATAATAGAAGTTTACGCAGATGCCTGTTTATTCTCACAAAGGTTTTCGCACAGGCGGCTGGAAAGATGTGATGGCCACTTGGAAGGTGTGTTTTACTGCCAATACAGTAAACCACGTTTATAATGAACTGATGGATGTAACACACTGTTTTTTGGTCCTGACCATTTACTGTATATATGCCGTATATATGCTTATGACGAACTACGATTATTAAGAACTAAACTAAGTGGTCCTTTGAGTTTGTTATAACCGTAGTTTACTGTATCTTATTATTGAAGAATTAGGGAACAGTTATTGAGGAGAGCTGCTGGTTGGGATGTCTCCACTACGAACGATAGGTTGCCATCCCCTTCAATAATATCGGTACTCTAGGTAACGTGTTCAGGAACAGCTGTGCAGGACGAGCATCACCGAGCACGATATGCACATCCCTGTATCCAGGTTCAGTTGTGGTTAAAAACATTGAATCACAGTTGTAGTTGATGATATCATTTTAATAAACCTGGGGTGTTCTATGATAGCCCTGAAGTGATTCGGATATATATACCGGTAAGTATGTCCTGGAGTCGCATCTACTAACAACTAGTTGACAGGGCGTCAGTTTGTTGTGCAAAGGGTTAAACCTCGTTCAACAATAATTCAGTTATGTGGCTTATCAGCCTGTTATGTGAGATAGATAAAACACTAATAATAATGATAATAATGATGATGATGATGACGATGACAACAACAACAACAACAACAACATAAAGTGCCAAATTCCATTGACTAAATGGATACTCAAAGCGTTACATTATTATTACCCCGCTCAATGGATCAGTGTGCAATTGATTTTCATTCTCAGCTCCCTGGGGAGTATACAATGCCAGAGAATAACCACTCTTGATTATGAACCAAGAACAGACTCCATTGGGTGTAAAAGGCAAAATAGTGGTGAAAATTAAGAATAGATCTCTGAAAATCAGTGATAACACCAGGGGTTTGCAAAAAGGGCAAGCATGCTCTGCCCTGCTGGTAGGACACAGGTTGTAGCGATTTGTGGCTCCAACAAAAATTACAGATTACAAAACCAAATACAACATTAATTTTATGTGTCCGAGCTGTAAAATGTCCAAGAAACCGGAATAAAAACGTATCCACTGAGTTGAGTTGAAACAACCAAATCCCTGTTGACACTGTGTATACACACCAGCAGATGAACCAACGTTGCTTGTTCTGAGCTGGCTGGTATACTGTACACAGGGTTCACATGGATTTCACCCTTCATTCTTCCTTTGCACTGTTTGGTACAGTGCTAACACCTTTATCACTTGCTTGATAAAGCTATGTACAAGCACCTGTTTCAAAATGCTGCACTGGAGGAATAAAAAAGGTGACATCCCTATCTCATAAGATCTGATTATAATGAGATTGTTTTGGTACAGTGCTAGTACATTTATCACTTGCTTGAAAAAGGGACAAGCACCTTTATCAAACCTCCATGTCAGAAAGATGAGATCTGATTGGTCCTCGTGATCCTGATAAAATAATAGGTATCCCGCCTAGGGAGGGAATAAATTTTTCAGCGGGTGAATAAATGTCTCATACCCCGCCACGAGCAATACAGGCTCCATATATCTGGATATCTGGACAGAATAATTCCCTTACACCTCCCTTCAAAGCAAAAAAAGCTGTTTTCTATTAATTTTGAATTTGTTTTAATTCATTTACAATGTCAAATTAAAACATGTTGGTTAGATAAATTTGTTGTAGCAGGATCACTCGGGGTACATGGGGTTTTATGGTGAAACCCTGGAGCACTCCGCGTTAAACGCACATCATGTCACCGAGTACATGTTGTAGTGCCCAGTATAGGGTAATCAATGTATACTGTCATTTATGAAAATATTGGTTCACGCCGAAGTCTACAACAGGTGGTCGTCATGTCATACATATTTCATTGTGAAGCATGTGATCCTGTCTAGCCTCAGACATGAACATGTATCAATGACAGAAACTGCAACTAGACACCACATGACCACCATAACCATTATCAATTTCCATTTTCCCAGTCAAAAACATATGCATCCCAGTCAAAAACATATGCATCCTGTTAAAAAACATCTGTCAGCTTAATATATGTCTGTGAAAAAAATGCCTCCTACTCTATAACTGCCTGTTGGAACAATGCCTCCATTTGACATACACATTTCATTTAGACCAATGACTACAATTCGTAATATGGTTTTAGGTAATATATAGATGAAATAAATTATCAAAAAGCAAATCATTAAAGTGCAAGTAAACTCAACATAGCAACTTTGCAGATTTAATACTTCAGGGCATGCTCAATCACAAATACTTGACCAAAATCACAAATTTGCAAAACAGAAATAGTGTAAAACAGACAACAAATAATAATAACCTAAATCGTCATGCAAATGAAAAAAATCTGCCACTGGGGTCCAAACTGCTTCCCTGTGTTTGTCGCGCTGCGCAAATTCAATTATCCCGTCGGCACCCTGTCTGCTCACTTCCGCCTCAGATTTGCAAATATTAGCAGGCTAGGCACCGCTTCACCGGCAGCTGTGGACCACACCCCCATATAGGTTTGTTTGGGGAAGCTGATTACAGAGTGTGTGATTTCAGCACTTTCACATTTAAATACTTTATAAAAATTATAATTAAGAATGATATCAATTTTCACTCTCTCGGAAAATCAACAAAATCACAATCAATTTTTTCAGATTACAGTAGAACATGAATATAACGAACACGGATAGAGCGAATAAACGGATACAACAAACTGTTAAAAAATTCCCGATTTATCTCCTATATATTATCATATAAAATTTACGTACATAAACTCTCTACAGCGAACTAACGGATATAGCGAACTGATATCTGATCACCAACAAGCCCATCTACCACTAAATAGTGACGTGTATAGTGAACTCAGAAATCTCACTCAGTGTCAAGTGTCACTGACATTTGGCTGTATGAAATCAGAGGCGAATCAATACAATCGTGGCAAATCAACACAATCACTGGTGACAATTCAACATGTAGCGCGGGAAGTCCCTACGGTGACGGGTAAAATTGTTCCTTACGTACAAATATCCGGCAATAGCTATCACCTGTACCAAAGAGCTACGCTTATGGTTCTTATAATCTTAAATATATATATAGTGAAAGCTGTAACTAAAATAGCACGATATTGGAATATATTATTCTGACAAAATAATAATTTCAGATACAATTTCTTCCAACCATTGCATCAAAATGTTTTGAAATGTTTGGGGTACTTTTTAACTGAATCACTGGTAGATGCGGGAGGAAATGTGTATAAACATGTACGTGTATTGTGGACGTCGTCAATGATGCTTATCGAGGACGACAGAAATCTTAGTTAGATGCAATAATCAACAATTACTAATTGTAAATATTGTGAAAAACAATAACACTTGCCATTGTTGAATTGTCTTTATTTAAATACAACAACTGAAAACAGAAGTACTGCAAAAATTAGAGTCAGTCAGGCAACATGTATATTTATCTAAACCCAAGCTTAAAGATCACAACATCTCGGCTGATCACTAAATGATATCTGTCTAATAAGCTTTGGTATGAAATGTTACCAGAAGAACCGCTTCTTTATCTACAGCAATAGCTGTGTGATGAGTGATGAGCGATTGGCAGTGTATCAGGCGGGCTGAAAAACGAAGCATGTGTGCACAGGTGTATGCTGTAATGAAGCCATGTTGCATTGATGCCGCTATCATGCAGTGTGAGAAAGATGCAGTATGTGCAAGCTTGTGAGGTCCAGGGTACATGGTCCAGGGTACATGGTCCAGGGAACATGGTCCAGACAAAATATTCCAGTTAGTTTGTTCAGCTATCATGGTTAAGCTGCAATGGACTGTTAATGTGACCAAGCTTGTTCCTACACTAACTGCTAGGAGGCGCCACTTACCATTGGAGAGACTATGTCTGAGTGATGCCTTCACCAAGTCGATGCCACTCTGCGATTGTCTTCGCTTTTCATTATTGACGTTGTCTTGAATCCACTCCCCTGTTAAACCCTTGAGTTGCCTGGAAGAATATTTCATACCAAAATCATTTAATATATAGAGGTCATATTAAAAATAATTCCACAATTATTCCGAAGGGCGATATTGGATCCATGGTATATGAAATAGATACGACCCAAGTGATGTATCTGTGTTTTCCAAAGGGACGTTATATGGAATCGAATTTAGGCAATGTGTCATAAAATAGAAATTTTTTGTTGATGATTTCCCACAAGTAAAGCTATTTGGCGAATGAAAACAAAATGTCCCAATTTCAATATACTGAAAAAAAAAAGCTAAATTAAAGTATTGAATTTTGTAAAGAAAATTCAGCAGATGAGGACCATATCTCTCTTCGTCTCCAAATGGGGATTCCAGATCTGAATAGGTCCCCAGTACCCCAAGCTTGGCACCAAAGGATATTCTGGTTCAGAATTAGTCCCCAATCCCCTTATGCTTGTCTCCCAGGGGGAATTCTGGACCAGAATAGGTCCCCAGTACCCCATGCTTGTCTCCCAGTGGGGATTGAGGATCAGAATTAGTCCCCAGTCCCCTTATGCTTGTCTCCCAGGGGGAATTCTGGGACAGAATAGGTCCCCAGTACCTCATGCTTGTCTCCCAGTGGGGATTTAGGATCAGAATTGGTCCCCACTGTCCGGACAGAAAAATTTAAATGTCCGGTAAGCAATATTTTAAACCGGACATTTGAGATTCCCAATCGGACATGTCCGGCGCATATGACGGATTCAGGACCCCTGGTCCCCAGTACCCCATGCGTGTCTCCCAAAGGGGATTTAGGATCAGAATAGGTCTCCAGCACCCCATGCATGTCTCCCAAAGGGGATTTAGGATCAGAATAGGTCTCCAGCACCCCATGCATGTCTCCCAAAGGGGATTTAGGATCAGAATAGGTCTCCAGCACCCCATGCGTGTCTCCCAAAGGGGATTTAGGATCAGAATAGGTCTCCAGCACCCCATGCATGTCTCCCAAAGGGGATTTAGGATCAGAATAGGTCTCCAGCACCCCATGCATGTCTCCCAAAGGGGATTCTCGCTCAAAATTGGTCCCCAGTAACCATGCTTGTCATAAGAACTGAATAAACAGGATCAGGTGGTATGTGACTGCACCTAGAGTTTGCACAATGTCATCTTCATATCTCTGAGTGGGCGGTCAGGCTGTGACTTCGCTGACAGTGTATCATCATGCCCAACTTTATATTACACTTTCCCTAAATAAGCTGTGGACTATAGCTGTATTGAACTTTTGGTGTGTATCCCAGACATGTAAATTGCACACTCGTCACAGAATTAGCCATGTTCTACCATCATAGAGTACGACAGCTGTTAATCACTGCTAATTTATATACCCTGTCAATAAAGCAATCTGGAATGAAGAACATCACCAGCCCATACACAATCCCTACATCTGCAATAAAAATGTGTTTGTCTTCCGTTGCTTTTTAAACACTGTTTTTTTGGTATTTACTCTAGCACAGGCCGCCATTTTGTATGTTGACATGGTGCCAAATTATGATCACCAAATTGGTGGTCATAAACTGAATTCATTTCTGAAGTCAAAAAGTAAGTACCGTATTTGATGTAAAAAAATTAGAAATAGGGGGCTCTTATTGGAATATTATTTTGGTGAAAAAAACAGAGTTGAAAGTTCGTAAATTTCGTGGTTCATGCTGACAACCTGAAATGTTTATATACAACATATATTTTTCCAGGATTTAATTGCCCATAATTAAGGGTGCATATAACACACAAGTGCGTATTATACACGAATAAATAAGTCTTGTGTACATTGATCGGAATGGGTGCTAATTGAGATTGTTCACTAGCCAATATATTAGCAAATATCGGCATGGGCGCTTATTACGTCGAATATGGTAAGACAATGGGAATTTATTTCCTGTAATTTAATCACTAATTAACTATGTTTTAATTCACTAGGTTTAGTTTTGTTCAATTTCAGTGTGTTGATTCAACAATCTCTAATGCATGCCTTCTGACACCCTTGCTATCAACTGTAGAAACAAAGGGAAATTTAGTGTTGACTCAACTTTTCCAGTGATGAAATATTGTGAGCACCTAGAAACATTGTTTGCCACTTCCGTATGACAACAGTAACTGTCAGTTTACGTATTACATCCTGACTGGTACTTACACTTGCTTATAGCAGAGAGTGCAGAGCCATTTCCCTGTCAACAGACTCTCACGGCAGACGCCACACACTCGGAACTTGCACTGGGAGCAGACGTCACCTGTGTTGAAGATGAACCCGAATGGTTTGTGACATCGTGCACAGATCTTGTTGAGGTCATCGCCGTCACGGATCACACTCTGAAGTCTCAGGTTGTGTATCTCACTCCGTAGCTGACTGTGGAAGCAAAACATATTTCAAGTGAATAAGTGAGTGAGTTTGGTTTTACGCCGCTTTTAGCAATATTCCAGCAATATCACGGCGGGGGACACCAGAAATGGGCTTCACACATTGTACCCATGTCGGGAATCGAACCCGGGTCTTCGGCGTGACGAGCGAACGCTTTAACTACTAGGCTACCCGACCGCCCCACATATTTCAAGAGTATCTTATCAAGATAATGAATATGGCAAACTACAAATTACTCCAACAATTTTGCTGTAGTTCTGAAAAGAAAACATGGATTCAAAAATTAATGTTTGGCTGGTTGACAAATTTCTTTATGAATACTGGTATATTACCACCAATCATATACTGGTATATTACCACCAATCATATACAACTAGAGCCCCTGTATTACCTTACCCAAATAACAGCAACACAACCCTTTCCTTAGTCATCAGAAATCTCTGCTAAAAGAAGCATCCATTTTTAAATTCCGACTATATGTTGATCATGAGCATGTGTTTATGAATTGCTATCAAATTGTGATGATACCAGGTGTTCTCCAAAAGGTGAGCATATCCTGCACCACCTGTGGCACCCATCACAAACACATGCAAAGGCAACTACAAAAACATGGGGACATATGGTACAAGTCAAAATGTGGAATTGCATTTGCCATTCTTGTCACTGTTGTAACCCTGATCATGCAAGTTTTGAGTAATAAGTTGTCTGATGCTCTTTGAAATATTTTTGAGAAAGAGCATGCTCAATTGAACCTAGAACCTGTGAAATGTAGACACCAGAGGCTGGGACTGCTCTACATAAGGGGAAAGTTGACAATTGGATAGTTGAAGTCATATTTCTTGTTACATTCTTGTAGATATTTTTTTGTCAATCGGAATCTTCATGCATTGATCTGGATATGAGTGAGTGAGTGAGTATGGTTTTACGCCGCTTTTAGCAATATTCCAGCAATATCACGGCGGGGGACACCAGAAATGGGCTTCACACATTGTACCCATGTCGGGAATCGAACCCGTGTCTTCGGCGTGACGAGCGAACGCTTTAACCACTAGGCTACCCGACCGCCCCGATCTGGATATGAAACAAATGAGGCAGTTTCACTGGTCTCTTTTATTTCTAGTTCTGGTGGGTAAATAAGTCAAAAGGAATTGTCTAATTCACCATTATCATCATGTTTTGGGTGTTGTTTTTTTGTTTAACATCGCACTCAGCAATATTCCAGCTATATGACGGCCTATAAATAATCGAGTCTGGACCAGACAGTCCAGTGATTGATATCATGAGCATCAATCCACGCAATTGGGATCGATGACATGCATCAACCAAGTCAGCAAGCCTGACCACCCGATCCCGTTAGTCGCCTCTTACGACAAGCATAGTCGCCTTTTACGACAAGCATGGGTTGCTGAAGACCTATTCTACCCCAGAATGTTCATGGGTTCACCATTATTAGATGATATCAGATCACTGGTAGTATTGATACTTGGTTTGGGCAGATATTCTCTTCAGTTAACATACTGGCCTTATATGTAGCATTATTTGATATGTAACATATTACCAAGATCAAACAATTAATGTAGTCATGTTTACATAAAATAGTCATGTTATTTAAGGCCTTCACAGTGGGAATTAACAACTACGAACATTAAATGTAGGCCAGCCTGGTTTTGGACGACAGCTGGCTCAGACAGAATGGGTTTAATCCAATTCTGTTTCCTCGATCCTTTTCAGTGTGTGCATTCTACCAATGACATCATCACGCACTGACTTAACCCACTCTGAAGGACAACCAACATGTTCATCTTCTCTTCTGGTCCGGGGCGGTCAGGTAGCCTAGTGGTTAAAGCGTTCGCTCGTCACGCCGAAGACCCGGGTTCGATTCCCGACATGGGTACAATGTGTGAAGCCCATTTCTGGTGTCCCCCGCCGTGATGTTGCAGGAATATTGCTAAAAACGGCGTAAAACCATACTCACTCACTTCTCTTCTGGTCCATTTTTTGACATATGCATAGACAGCATCCACATTCTCAACAATATTTTTGTCCATCTCAGCATTAAACCAAAGAGATAATACACTTACAAGCAAGCTTTAAATATATTGAATGACTCTCACGGACTGTCATGTATAACATGGATGCAGATTTAATTACCTGGGATCAGTTGTGTTGGCTGATTATTGTGAAGAGTACCTACATGAATAGGAGGCCAACAGGAAGGAATGCATGGGCCCCGTTCCACAAAGCGATCGTAACGCTAAGACGATCGTATCTCCCATACTTTAACATAGACTCATGGCAGTCATGGCGTCAGATTGCTTTGTGGAATGGGTCTCTGGCTGATGGTGTTTGATGGGGGCGGTGGGGTAGCCTTGTGGTTAAAGTGTTCGCTCATCACACTGAAGACCCGGGTTCGATTCCCCACATGGGCACAATGTGTGAAGCCCTTTTCTGATTCCCCTCCCGTGATACTGCTGGAATCGTGCTAAAAGCGGCTTTAAACCATACTCACTCACACTAGTGATCAGTGCATTTCTTAATAATCTGAAATTTGTTTGTTTGTTGTTTAATGCCGCACTCAGCAATATCTCAGCTTCATGATGGTATTTTGAAATGTTTTCTCCTTCCAAGAATACAATACTATGGGTGAAATTGTTTTCAGTAAGCAGGGTCCTATTCCACAAAGTAAACTTGGTGCTACATCTGCGGTAAGTCTATGTTAACGTATCAGTTACAATTGTCCTAGTGCTAGGATCGCTTTGTAGAACTGGAATCTGGTTCACGGACACCTGGTCTGGCTGGGCTATGTCCTCTTTAACACATGTATCTTAACACTGAGGTTATCATGACTCCCAGCCTTGAATATTGATTACGATAGTTGTAGCATTTTGCTAATGGAACCCAGGTTGAAGCGTAACTCAGATATTGCTGATTCAAGCATAAGCACCTACTAACTCCTTCACTCGAAACCCTGTTTCACCATTTCACTCACCACTCACTCACACAACAAACCCCACCCCCACCAACTTGACACACCCATCACTCACTCAACCCCCCATCCATTCTCCCACCCACCCACTCACCTATCAATTCTCCGGCTCACTCACCCACAAAACCATCCATTCTCCCCCCACACACACACCCATCCATTCTCCCACCCACCCACTCACTTATCCATTCTCAAACTCACTCACCCACCCACCCATCCATTCTCCCACCCACACAACCCCCCATCCATTGTCCAACTCACTCACCGACCCCCCCATCCATTTTCCCACCCACACAACCCCCAATCCATTCTCCCACCCACCCACTCACCCATCCAGTCTCCCACCCACCCACTCACCTATCCATTCTCCAACTCACTCACCCACCCACCCATCCATTCTCCCACCCACACAACCCCCCATCCATTCTCCCACCCACCCACTCACCTATCCATTCTCCCACTCATCCACTCACTCCATCACCCATCCATTCTCCCACCCACCCACTCACCTATCCATTCTCCCACTCACCCACTCACTCCATCACCCACACATTCTCCCACTCATCCACTCACTCCATCACCCATCCATTCTCCCACTCACTCCATCACCTATCCATTATCCCACTCACTCACCCATCCACCCACCCATCCATTCTCCCACTCACTCGATCACCCATCAATTCTCCAACTCACCCCATCACCCATCCATTCTCCTACTCACTCCATCACCCATCCATTCTCCTACTCACTCCATCACCCATCCATTCTCCCATTTACTCCATCACCCATCCATTCTCCCACTCACTCCATCACCCATCCATTCTCCTACTCACTCCATCACCCATCCACTCTCCACTCACTCCATCACCCATCCATTCTCCTACTCACTCCATCACCCATCCATTCTCCCATTTACTCCATCACCCATCCATTCTCCCACTCACTCCATCCATTCTCCCATTTACTCCATCACCCATCCATTCTCCTACTCACTCCACCACCCATCCATTCACCTACTCACTCCATCACCCATCCATTCTCCTACTCACTCCATCACCCATCAATTCTCCCACTCACTCCATCACCCATCCATTCTCCAACTCACTCCATCACCCATCCATTCTTCCACTCACTCCATCACCCATCCATTCTCCCACTCACTCCATCACCCATCCATTCTCCCACTCACTCCATCACCTATCCATTCTCCCACTCACTCCATCACCCATCCATTCTCCCACTCACTCCATCACCCATCCATTCTTCCACTCACTCCATCACCCATCCATTCTTACACTCACTCCATCACCCATCCATTCTTCCACTCACTCACTCACTCACTCACTCACTGCCTCCTACCTGGCTCTCGTGTCCTGTTCTTTCCGTAGTTCCTCATCCCGTCGTATCACACTCAGTATGAGCGTCTTCTCCTCCTCCGTCAAACCCTCCATATCAATCATCTCCTCCATTGCTGTCTAACAGTGTGGAGGATATCCTGTATATTCCACTTCTACACACAAAATTCCTTTGTAGTAGTTCTGTTCACAACCATTGCTATCTGTCTACTCACAAAAAAAATCCATTTTGAAAAAGACAGCTGTCACACAAAAGGTCTTCTATCTTCGCTATCCAATTCCACAGATACAAACAAATCATATAATGTTGTTTTTTTCATATGGTAATTTTCACAATATACACAAAATGGAAGACTTCTAAAACAGGTACATTAACACAAAACAAAAACTGGCTTATTGCGTGCTGTAACTTGTAAATGTTTTAAAGATGTATCGGATATGACACTAAATGCGTGCACCAATCTCCAAGGCTGTGTGATGATCTGCGGTGGCACCAGTGCAAGGATGCTATGGAAGACTGGCAGACATAAGGCACAATGGTCAAGTCCAGGACACCAGGTCTACGTCATCTGCAACAACGATGAACACAGCATGACATTTCAAGCCTTGGAACATTTGCAAATACAATTCATTATTCTTCCAGTACACATCACTGTCACTCAGCCTGTGATAAATTAAATGTTTTTCACTTAATCAGCAAAAATCAATATGCACAAGGTTTATAATGTCACTAGTTTCATATGAGATTGTATCAGTGACCTTATAACCAAGTGACAGTGTAATATCAAGAATGATTGGCACAAATTCAGGAAATTAAATGTCATCGGGGAAATATCATCAATAACACCTCTTACAAGGCTATCATCAGTATTACCGGAATGTCATGTTTTGAAGTTGACATCTGATTCGGGGCATTTTTTATCACATTATCTATTAAAAGATCTTTCTTCTTTTGAGTTCTTGACTAAAACCACTTCCTCATAATTTTTTTTGAAAAACTTCATTGTGTGATAACGTTCACTCTTACGAAATCTATATCTGACAACAAAATGTCCTAAAATAATTTTCATTAGTACACTTTGTAAACAATATACCTATGTACAACAACGCCTTTTCTTTTTACAACAGTACTCATTTCTTTATCCATAAACATAACATACACCAGACTCATATACCAAAATAATATTCTTTAGTACACTTTTTGACCAATATTCCACAAAGCCTATCACTTTTACAACAAAACACATTTCATAATCAATCATATTCCATAAGTATAACCGCTGAGAAACTCAAATAATAAATCTGTCACAGAAAATATTTCCAGATAAACTTCCTACCATGAATATTCCCAGAGTGAGACAAACGAAGCTCCACACTGCTTAAACTATCCACAGTTGTGTTGCTAATTTCCTTTACCTCGCAATCTGCAGTCAGTGGACTGACACTGTGGCATTTACCATAATGCTTAGCGCTCCACCCACATCTCCTATACTGGTAATTGTACTTGATGGAGCAATGCTGGTTATACAGCAGGCAGGACAATATGGCTCGTAGCGCCCTACATGTACTGCCAGTGCAACAGTGCACTGCCAGAGTACAAAGAAGTTTGTTAGATTTGCCTCTGGCAACAGGTGCTCTCAACAACCGGCTTAATGTGACGACCACACATTCATTGGTAATAATATCATAAATATTTGCACCAACTCTGGCTGGGAATATTTAAGAGTTGATCGGAGGCTGAACTAATTATACGCCTCGGCTGGGAGCATCTTTAGGCTCTGAATGACAAATGTTGAACTCAAACAGCATATTTTCCCTGCAGCAGTGTGCAATTATACCATGTCCTGATGAATCAGTGGACAATGGTTGTGTGGTGTCGTGATACAGGGGATAATACAATAAATACCCAACATTCCTTCACTTTAGCTCTCAGGTTAGGTGTGTGTCATGACAAACTATATCACAGCATTTAAAGATTGAATACTGGACCATGCGTTATAGAAATTATAGTTGTTTACCTATTTATCTACTTGGTGTATACTCATCAGTATTTTTCAAACATACAGTCTGGCCCGGTCTTAGTCTGATAAACATGATAAAGTGACCTCGAAAATAAAAGCAGCAAACCCATTTCCCTAAAAGCAGAGTCTGTTGTACAATTCCAACTGTATCACAAACATGTGTTAACGTATTCAACGTAATAAGCGCCCACAGCGATATTTGCTAAACTGTTGGCTAGTGAACAAGACTTATTTATTCGCACTCGTGTATTATATGCACCCTTAATTATGGGCAATTAAATTCTTGAAAAATATATGTCGTATATAAATATTTCAGGTTGTCAGCATAAACCACGTTTTTTTTCACCAAAGTAATACTCAAATAAGAGCCCCTATTTCTAATTTTGAGATAGCCCTGGGCGCTTATAACGTCGAATACGGTAATGTATCATCATCAAATAATGATGATTCCAGATGTTCACAAAAGGTTCACGTATCCTGTTCCACTGATGGCACCTGTCACAAACACATGCAAAGGCAAGTCAACTGTCTACAATAACTGGAACGAATGGAACAAGTCAAAACAGGGAATTGAATCAGACATGAATTTTGTCACTCATGAGTCAAATTTGAAAATGTCCCCCACATGTCTGCCATGAAACATTTTGAAAGCTTCACGAAGACCGTGAATGTTGTAATCCTGATAAAAAAACTACTCTTTGAAATATTTGAAGAATGAGCATGCTCGGTTGTTGAATGTTGAAGTGATCCCTCTTGTGGATGGATACCTTATTGTCGCTCGGAATCATTATGCATTGATCTAAATATAAAACAGAGGAGGCGGTTTTGCTGGTCTCTTTAATTCCAGTTCAGATGGGAAAATCAGTGGAAGGGAATTGGTCTTTTTGAGCATAACTGAGCGATATCAGGAGCTTAAATTGGCCCTATTCCTGTGTTTAGAATTTGACAATCTGAGCAGAATTCCAAATTCATATGCATATTACCGGTAATCATTGAGACAGGGATTTGGTGGTACATGTTTTGGACCCTACAATGTATCTGTCTTCTTATGGGGCTTTGGAAATCCAGCATAAAAGGTAAATGGAGATATCTTCAGGTCAAGCAAAAAGTTGAAAGTGAGTGAGTATGGTTTTACGCCGCTTTTAGCAATATTCCAGCAATATCATGGTGGGGGACACCAGAAATTGGCTTCACACATTATACCCATGTGGAGAATCGAACCCGGGTTTTCGGCATGACGAGCAAATGCTTAAACCATTAGGCTACCCCACCGCCCAAAAAGTTGCAAGTACTGATGCCTGGTTTGGGCAGATTGTCACACAGGGGATGCCAACCCCTCCTCTTTGGGCATCCGGCATACCATTTAATTTGTCATGGCAACCAGTTTAAGAACTCTTAAGTCATAACAGTATACACAGCTGGTAAATTGGACTGGCATACCATTTAATTTGTCTTGGCAACCAGCTTAAGAACTCTTAAGTCATAACAGTATACACAGCTGGTAAATTGGACTGGCATACCATTTAATTTGTCTTGGCAACCTTAAGTCATAACAGTATACACAGCTGGTAAATTGGACTGGCATACCATTTAATTTGTCTTGGCAACCAGCTTAAGAACTCTTAAGTCATAACAGTATACACAGCTGGTAAATTGGACTGGCATACCATTTAATTTGTCTTGGCAACCTTAAGTCATAACAGTATACACAGCTGGTAAATTGGACTGGCATACCATTTAATTTGTCTTGGCAACCAGCTTAAGAACTCTTAAGTCATAACAGTATACACAGCTGGTAAATTGGACTGGCATACCATTTAATTTGTCATGGCAACCTTAAGTCATAACAGTATACACAGCTGGTAAATTGGACTGGCATACCATTTAATTTGTCTTGGCAACCTTAAGTCATAACAGTATACACAGCTGGTAAATTGGACTGGCATACCATTTAATTTGTCTTGGCAACCTTAAGTCATAACAGTATACACAGCTGGTAAATTGGACTGGCATACCATTTAATTTGTCTTGGCAACCTTAAGTCATAACAGTATACACAGCTGGTAAATTGGACTGGCATACCATTTAATTTGTCTTGGCAACCTTAAGTCATAACAGTATACACAGCTGGTAAATTGGACTGGCATACCATTTAATTTGTCATGGCAACCAGTTTAAGAACTCTTAAGTCATAACAGTATACACAGCTGGTAAATTCAACTGGGATTTCAACGAGAATGCATGACCTAAAGCTTAGGGCTAAATATTTTATTGATTTGTATCTCTGTGCCAGAAAGATAAGAGGAAAATTAAATTTCTACTTTGAAATATTGGTATCTGTGTTCAGATAAACAGTTCATGGCATCCAGTGTACGGCAGCATCTGGATCACCACCTGACAGGGCTTGACATCCGGTGCACCACAAGGGGTTGGCCACAATCCAGATAGCTGTCCGCAAAACGTTAAATTGGTTGGTTGGTTTGTTGTTTAACGCCGCACTCAGCAATATTCCAGCTATATGACAGCGATCTGTAAATAATCCAGTGATTAATATCATGAGCATCAATCCATGCATTTGGATCGATGACATGTATCAACCAAGTCAGCGAGCCTGACCACCCGATCCGTAAGTCGCCTTTTACGACAAGCATAGTGAGCTTTTACGGCAAGTACGGGTTGCTTAAGACCTATTCTACCCCGGTGTCGTCACGGGCCACAAAACGTTAAAAGCACTGATGCATGTTTTTTGCCGATTGGTTTTGGCCGACTGTGAGTGAGTGAGTGAGTGAGTATGGTTTTACGCCGCTTTTAGCAATATTCCACACTGTACCCATGTCGGGAATCGAACCCGGGTCTTCGGCGTGACGAGCAAACGCTTTAACCACTAGGCTACCCGACTGCCCCTGCCAACTGTGAGACATCCACAAGTCTGATAATTTTTCCCTCCCTAACTGGTGTACATTTTGGAGGACTGTCTGTTTGCCAGGTGCAACCACAATGACAGCTTAAGGAGCTGATGACATTCTCATAAAACGGACATACTCATTCACTTCACAAACACCAGATGTTATCATTAGAATGTCGTTTGATGTGTCATGATAATTGATTTTCTTCCCCTATTATGTGTTTGTGAAGGAGTAGAAAGTAATGCTATTCTACACATGAAGACTCTCACACAAAGCAGACACATGGTGATTCCTGGCAAACAGTTTTGTAAGTCAGCTTAACTGGGGACCAGACCCTACATTGGCAATTGAGTACTTGGATGGGTGAGAAACAGGAATGACCAACTCTCATCTGAAAGTGGATTCGTGAAGATCCGGGGTAGAATAGGTCTTCAGCAACCCATGCTTGCTGTAAAGGCAACTATTGGGATCGGGTGGTCAGGCTCGTGACTTGGTGGATGCTTGTCATCATATCCCTATTGCGTGGATTGATGCTCATGATATCAATTACTGGATTGTTTGGTCCAGACTCGATTATTTACAGATTGCCGTCCTATAGCTGGAATATTGCTGAATGCCGTGTTAAACAAACAAAATAAACGT